CTATTACTAAGGACTATTGTACTCCGTCAACACTGCCTTACCTCCCAAACCTTCCTCTCCTACGCCTTCACTCCCCCCCCCTCTGGCTTTATATTCCACGGTGAACTTCAGGTGTTAGATTTAACAGTAGTGCGTAAGATGAGAATCCTGCCGCTGTTTCATTGCGTCCCACCTCGACAATCGCCCCAATTTCACCGAATCCTCCACCAACTGAATGCATTGATACCAACACGAACTGACCAAATGTGACATGCATATACGGCAACAGGCGTTCAGGACAGTCATTATCGATTTGTGTTCTATCCGAGAAACTTAAACTTACTAATCGAGTTTCCTTCTCCGATTGATGTTACCACCAAATCAATCCACGAAGTTTCACTCATGACTGGAGACCCCGAGGCTGCAACTTCTGAAGCTGCTGTGACTCAGTGAGAAAGCTAAAGCTGCGCTCCTGGTCAACAGATAGTATATTGTGCGTAGTAAGAATTAGAGGCTCGTGCGGAATAAGTAGCCGATGCCCCCGATAGACGAAGATTTTCTCACGTGTCGGTGTACGCCCCCCATGGACTTCAGCCTAGATGCAGTCAAACATAGATTTTGCTAAAAACTGCACGACTTCTTGCATAAAGCGCTTCGGGCTGCTATCGTGATTTTAACGGGAGACACGAATGCTAGATTAGATAGGCTGTTTTCGAGCTGGTAGCGTCTGGCTGCCCCTTTCGAACTGGGTTCCTGCCACTCGTAAAACGTGGAATGGCTGTTGGCTGCATGTTCTGACCACCGCCTATTCCTAGACAAAACGAACTTACGATGATCTAACTGCCGTACCCCATTTGGCGTTCGCCATCCCTGAGTCAGCTACGGCCACAGATTGACAACATAACCATAAGTCACAAATGGCGGGATTCTATGCAAGACTGCAGCAACTCTTCACCTCGAAAATCAGACCACGCATGAGTCTGCTCCAAGCTGTCTGTGTTCTCCGGTGGGCGTTCCAAACGTAAAGCACAGCGACGATTGGACTGCTATAAGTTGTCTAAACCAGCTTGCCTTGCTGTATTTGAAAACGTGCTAAGTCAATCCAGCAGTTTCAGTTTGAACAACCATCAACCATACCCTTTCGTGTGGCGCTTGTGGTTACGCCTTTTAGGTTACCCATTCAGACGAAGCGGTCGGAAAGTTAAAAGTAGTTTCGAAGGAAGTGTAGAATTTCGGAAGAATACGGTTCAAAGGGTAATAGTTAGATATACGAACGCCACTGTTTGTGACATCCATCTGCATCACTCAGGGTTTCTAGACATCGCGGTTAGGATAACCCCTTGCCTTCCATTCCATGGAACCGAACGCGACCTGTTTGACCTAGTTAGGATTTTCATGCCCTCATACCGGGTCTTAGTTTGATCACCTTTTACTTTTCCCATCCACCATCAGCCTTGGCAAACATCGCTCGCCGTGATGACCTGTTTAATGATATGCGCAACATGCCAACCAACGCAATCTCTGGAGTTCAGCCAGTTGTCCCAGTGGGCGATCGTCTTCATCTAGAACTCATGATAAGAAGGCACTTTAGGGATTTGCGTTGTCCTATTTGACATAAGGAGGAATGGTTTTGCGACCATTTAGCAAGACAACAGAGGTCGATTCGACCCTTCGTATGTGCGCCAGGGTTCGCTGGTTAACTGCTCCTCGTATTTATTCGCTGAAGTTACCTCTCCGGGGGCGAGAGTGGATATTCAGAAGGCAGGAGGTGTTCAGTCAGCTGAGCTTCGTCTGGTCCTCACCCATGGACCTCTAAGGTATTATTCTATCTACGGCTATGAAATTTATCCTGTGTATCCAGTAGGGTCACAGAGGTACCAAGCCATGACACAATTTCACTGTGTCGTCTTTTCCTTATGGCAAACCAGCAATAGCTTTGTGCATTTGAATGTGCGAATTTTCAGCATTTGGCACCGTATTTTTGTATTCAAATTTACAAAATCACGCAAAGTGAAGTTGAAATAACTTGATATGGACACTGTCGATGTAGCAAGCGATTGTGCAACCATATGGAAGTTTTCTGCTTATAAACGAGTAGAAATGTGAGATATGGCAACATATAATTACCGTATGAAGAGAAAGACATATTTGGATGGTGAAGGCTAAGAACTTGAAGTGATGTACCTTTACTACTGTTCCACCGTCAACGTTAATGGCCCGCGACGGGCCTCGGAACATCGTGAAAAACTTCGGTTTTTCTCCAAACCGATGACCTTGGCTTAACACAACAGTATCGGCTGTAAACTTTCAGGTTCATCTTCTAACATGACATTATCTTCGCGGTCAGCTGTCCAAGTTTCGTTACTGATTTGAATTGTTCTAACATTGTTAAGAACTCGAATTATCATCCGATCTGCTGTGTAGCTGAATAGAATTCGTGACGGAACAGCCCTGGCGGAAGCCCGAAACAAGCGGAAATTCTGTCGACGTTTCCCCACAGGTGTGGACGAGAGTTAGTGCTGCATAGTGTACTGATTTTGTTAGCCTTAGACACTTCTCATGAATCCCGTCTGTACGTAATATGCTAGAAAGTGATTGTTTTTTGAATATTGGAACTTACGGTGTTTTAGGATGTACTGAAGCGTGAAGATTCGGTCGTGGAAAATTGTACTAATTCGGACGCGTTTAGTGGCAATACGGTTGAGCAGGATAGTCGTGAAAACCCTAGTAGCGATATCGATGAGTAGTAGACTATATTCTATCGTTCTTTTTGAATACGGACTAGAATCGGTCGTTCAATTTTGTGATTTAGTTTTGGTATTCCGGATGTGAGGCTATAGCGTCTGATAAAGATTGGAATTTTTCTGGATTCGATAGCTTAGAAACAACGACTCTGGCTCAAGAGTGACATTTCTGCCACGTCGAAACAGGGACATACCAACTTGTGGTCAGTGCCATTGGCGTTTCCCGTTATGGCACCGCGTTACGACCGACATTTCTCCAGCGAGAGCGCATCAATATGTAGTTGTTTTGATGTACTGTTTTACCTCCTTTGGAATACCAAGTTAGTCAGTGTCTTTGGGTGCACCTAGAGCTTTTCCACAATCTACAGCGACATCTTGCCTGTCTAGCAAAGCACTTCGAGGTTAAGTTTACCTTTTCACAGGGTTATTCCGGAACACATCCCGCAGCCTATCTAAACATATTCACCCTCGGTGGAAACATGCAGGTCTTCCACCCCGAGAACGTAAAAAAGCATTCCTTCAGCTCTAGATCATGGAATAAAGTTTGTTAGTTAACTGGTGCCTCCGTTCTACCAAATTGGGAACATTGGGCGTGTCGTCTCCTAGTAAAGAGGAAATCCTTAGCGTCCTAATATTTAAAAATATACCCTGCAGTGATTTCGTGAATACCCTTGAAAATCAGCCTGGATGCAACGATCAAATCTTCACCCTAGGACATATCCCAGGTCAATGATTCATGTGTTCTTAGGTATCC